GGTTGATGATTTTGATGATGGGGAAGGGACCGATGAACCTGGGGGTCATCTTCCTGGGTGTGTCCTTTAGGTGCATGTCTCTGGTGGAGAGCCATACTTTTTGACCCACCTGGTAGTATGGTGCAGCAGAACGGTGGCGGTCGGCAAACCTCTTGTTTTGGGCAGTTGTGCGTATGAGAGCCGCCTTGGCTTGGCACCAGGCACGTCGACATCGTCGGAAGTGGTGTTGAACGGAGGGTACGGTGATGTCTGTCTCCTGACTGGGGAACAAAGGAGGCATGTAGCCAAGGGAGGCTTCAAAGGGAGACATACCTGTAGCTGAAGATTTGTGCGAGTTGTGGGCATATTCCACCCAAACCAAGTGTTGACTCCAAGCCGAGGGGTTGTGTTCCACAATACACCGTAGTGTGGTCTCAAACTCTTGGTTACACCTCTCTGCCTAACCATTAGAATGGGGATGGTAACCGGAGGTGAGACAGACGGATGCCCCCAAAGTATTGCAAAAACAGTGCCATACCTGAGAAATGAATTGTGGGCCTCGGTCTGTCACCACATCAGATGGAATGCCGTGGATCCTAAAAACATGCTGAACAAGGAGATGAGCCGTCTCCTTAGTGGTAGTGGTAGTGGTAGTGGAATGAAATGGGCTGCTTTTGAAAATCTATCAATGACAGTTAGAATGGCTGTGTTACCTTCTGATGGTGGTAGGCCTGTGACAAAGTCCACTGATATGTGTGACCATGGACGGCTGGGCGTGGGTAGTGGTTGCAACAGACCAGCAGGGGGTCAATTTCCCATTTTGTTTCTGGCACAGGTAGCGCATGCTGCAACAAATTCCTTAACATCTTGGAAAAGCGTAGGCCACCAGAAATGAGTCTTCATAAGCGACAACATGCGTGAGGTACCAGGGTAACAGGAAAGCTTATTTGTGTGCGCCCACTCGAGTATCTTAGACCTCATAGTAGAGGGAACGAACAGTGTTCCAGGGGGTCCTGTGCCGGGATCAGGTTCATTCTTATGAGCCTCGTGAACCTCTCTCTCAATAGACCAGGTGAGGGCCCCAACAATGCAGATGGGAGGGATGATGTTCTCTTCAGAGTCAGGTACCTCTGGGGAAGAAAACTGGCGGGAGAGAGAGTCAGGCTTGGTATTCTTAGAACCGGGTCTGAACGTTGTATAATTAAAACGGTTGAAAAACAGTGACCAACGTGCCTGTCTGGGGGTCAGTCATTTGGCGTCCCTCAAGTAGGTCAGATTCTTATGGTCTGTCCATATTAAAAAGGGAATTTCAGTGTCCTCTAACCAGTGGCGCCATTCTTCTAAGGCTAATTTTACAGCCAGAAGTTCCCGGTTGCCCACGTCATAATTCCGTTCTGCTTGGGACAAGCGCCGGGAGAACAAGGCACATGGGTGCATTTTATTATCACTGGGAGACCTTTGGGGCAGCACCGCTCCTACCCCAGTATCAGATGTGTCTACTTTCAAAATGAACTGATGTTTGGGGTCTGGATGACACAGGATGGGTGTGGAGGAGAAAAGTTGTTTTAGCTTACCAAAGGCTCCATCTGCTTCAGGGTTCCATCTGAATGTCCTATTGATGGAGGTAAGCTGTGACAATGGTGCAGCGATGTGGCTGTAATCCTTTATAAAGCGTCAGTAAAAGTTTGCAAATCCCAGGAAGCGCTGTAATTGTTTCCTGGTCTCAGGAACCGGCCACTCCACCACTGCCTTGGTCTTCTCAGGGTCTGTTCTGTAATGTCCTTGCCCAAAGATAAATCCCAAAAAGGAGACAGATGGCACGTGACAACACTATTCACTTTTTACGAATAATTGATTCTCGTACAGTCTCTGAAGCACAGTTCTAACTTGTGTAGTGTGTTTGGTCTTATCTTTAGAGTAGATGAGGATGTCGTCCAGATATACGAATACAAAATCACCAATAAAATCTCTTAAGACGTCATTAACTATTGCCTGGAAGACAGCGGGAGCGTTGGTCAGGCCGGATGGCATGACAAGGTATTCGAAATGTCGAAGGGGGGGTTTGAAAAGCCGTTTTCCATTCATCTCCATGTTTTATACGGACCAAGTGATAAGCGTTTCTTAAATCCAGTTTAGTGAAGATTGTGGCAGATTGCAATTGTTCGTGAATAGAATCTATTAACGGAAGGGGGGTATTTATTTTTAATAGTAATGTTGTTAAGTCCTCGGTAGTCGATACATGGGCGAAGGGTCTTGTCTTTCTTGGTTATGAAAAAACTCCGCCCCCATAAGAGAGGTGGACGGGCGAATAATCCCTGAGTCGAGGGATTCCTCAAAGTAAGTTTTCATAGAATCTCTCTCGGAGCCTAAGAGGTTGTAGAGGCGACTGGCCGGTAACGGGGCCCCTGGAAGAAGGTCAATGGAGCAATCATATGGCCGATGAGGAGGCAGAGATAAAGCCTTTTGTTTACTGAATACTTGGGCCAGGTCGTGATACTCGGGGGGAATGGAGTCAATCTCTTCTGTGAGCGAGTCAGGTCTGGAGTGGTTGGAGATACCAGAATGAAGGTAGTGCTTAAGACACCTGTTGCTCCATTTCTCCACCCTCCCGAGTTCCCAATTAATATGGGGGTTATGATGCTTCAACCGTGGGGCAGCACGGTGGCGCAACTGGTAGAGCTGCTGCCTCTCAGCGAGCAGGTCCTTGGTTCAATCCCCGGTCCAGGGACCTTTCTGGGTGGAGTTTGCATGTTCTCTCCGTGCATGTGTGGGTTTTCTCCGGGTGCTCCGGTTTCCTCCCACAGACCAAAAACATGCATGTTAGGCTGATTGGTAACTCTAAATTGTCCCTAGGTGTGAGTGAGAGAGTGAATGGTTGTTTGTCTCATTTGTATCTATGTGGCCCTGTGATGGACTTGCGACCCGTCCAGGGTGTACCCCGCCCCTCGCACAGTGATTGATGGACATGGGCACCAGCGACCCCCGTGACCCAAAATGGAATAAGCGGGTAAAGATAATGGATGGATGGATGGATGCTTCAACCATGGATCTCCTAAAATACACTGGGTGTTGGGTGAGTCGAATATGAAAAAAGCAATGTATTCGTGGTGATTCCCAGAAGTTATTAGGTGCAGATTAGCTGTTTTAAAGCGGATCTGAGCCAGTGTCTCACCAGTGACTCCTGCTATGGAAACATGTTGAATTTCTTGAACAGGGAGTGATAATTCTTGGACCAGATTTTGGCTGATTAAATTTTGCTCAGCACCTGAATTGATCAAAACCACAACAGGGAAACGGTTTTGGTTAACTTGGATGACTGTGGGGCGTGTAAGTCTATGAAAAGGAGTGAAAGAGGACGTACCCACCAGTATCTCCCTCTTTACCGGCGGGCAACTTAGTTTCCCTGAAATGGGCATGATGCTACATAATGTCCATCTTTTCCACAATAAAAACATAATTTTGACTCCCGACGTCTTTGTCTTTCATCAGGTAACACCTATGCAGGTGTTAGACGTGTACGTCCCACCTGCATAGCTTCTGGTTCAAGCAGCGCTAGGTGTGTCGTGGGAACAGGATTCATGTAAATCTGGAATTGATCCACCTGATGGTTTACCATAATCAACTCGGAGCCGACTGAGTCTTTATCCAAGGCCTCACTAAACTATCCCACATCCGAGCTTTTGTCTCAGCAACAGACAAGGCTAGGGACCTCTTGACCCTCCGGAACTCCTCAACTGCCTCCAGAGTCCCACCAGCCAACAAGGACCAATAGGATTCCTTCTTCAGCTTGACAGCCTCCCTAACCCAGGGTGTCCACCACCAAGTTTGTGGATGGCCACCACAAGAAGCACAGACAACTTTGGGGCCACAACTCAAGGATTCCAAGAAGGCTGGATACTTGGAACTGCCGTTTGGTGCATAGGCACAAACAAATGTCAGAGCCTGTCCCCCCACCCGACGGTGCAGGGAAGCTACCCTCTCATCTACCGGGGAAAACTCCAACACACAGGCAAAGTTGGGGGGGTGGTAAAAGTAGACCCACACCAGCTCAGTGCCTCTCACCATGGGCAACTCCAGAGTTGAATAAAGTCCAGCCCTTCTCAAGGAGATCAGTTCCAGAGTCCATGCTATGCGTCGAGGTGAGCCCAACTATATCTAGTCAGTGTCTCTCAACCTCACGCACAAGCTCAGGCTCCTTTCTTGCAGAGAGGTCACGTTCTATGTCCCAAGAGCCAGCTTTGGTAAGCGAGGGTCAGGGCACCAAGGTTCCCGCCTTTGACCACTGCCCATAGCATCATGCACCTGACTCAAATGGACCCTCCAGCAGGTGGTGGGCCCACAGGAAGCTGAAGAAACCAGCTTTACTCCCTTTACCAGCTCTTTAGCTTTAGGAAACACGATGACTTAGATCAAAGGGTGTCATTAAAGGCGTGAGTTTATCTAAAGCTGAAGAAGCCAGCTTTAAGTAAACTCACCGCCTTTAACGACACTCTTTGATCTAAGTCCTCATTTTCCCTTCATTGGTCCAGACCTTCCTGTAATATGTTGAAATGGTTCTGGATCAACAGTTCTTTAACCATTCTCCAGACCGTCTGAAGGGTTTCAGAGGTTTTTTGGACTTCATGTGATTTTTCTCTCTGTTGTCCTTTCAGCTGAAAGCTCGATAGTCTGTATTTTTGTATGATCAAACAGTTCTGGTCCAGTCCAAAACAACACATTTCAGAGCTGAAAACTCTCCAGTACATTAACAGGGTCCCCAAGTCTTTAAGAAACAGGAACAGATCCAACCAAAACTTGAAAAGGACCTAAGAGGTCCCTCCCTCATCCTTCAGCTGATCAGGAAGTTTTCACCTCTTTGGAATTCACCATGTCAGAACTAAAGTTCTGTTTCCTGTCTAGAGCTCTTTAAACAAACGAGAAGGTCTGCCTGCTTCAGAGGAAGATGGACGTGGTCAGATGTTTTGGACTGGGACTCCTTTCATTGGTAGACCTGGACTCAAGAACTTTTCTTCATGTTTTAGGTGGAAATTCAGGGAACCCAAATGGATCTTCTCAGACAGAGGAACAAGAGTCTGATAGAGGAGAACCGAAAACTCCAGCAGCAGATGGAGAACCTGGAGAGGTCAGTTCAGATCCAGTAGAACTTACAACACCTGAGACGGTTCTGTGGGATTGTCTGGCTGCTCTGTGGTTTGATCCTCTCTCCTCTGTCCCTTAACAGGAAGCTGGAAGAGGTCGGCATTCAGAACTCTGACCTTCTCGCCCTGGTGGCAAAGCAGGAGAAAGCTGTCCACAGAAACCAACTTTCTCTGGAGGAGAAGACCAGAGAGAGTTCTGCTCTGGGCCGAAGGCTGGAGGAAGTTCTGGATGATGCTCGCCAACAGGTGACTTAACCACCTGAGACCACCTGACAACTCCAGCTCAAGAGGGTTAGGTCTTCTTTCCAGCATTGAGGTTTCTGTGTCAGCTCACTGATGGTTGAAGAGACCAGATGAATGTTCTGTGTTGTTTAACTGTTACACAGGTGTTCAGATTTGTCCTACCCTTCAGGTAATTGCATGTGGGGTGTGGTCACATGTTACTTAGCTGACCTGGGTCATGGCACCAGTAGGTTTTTCTAGACTTTTCTGTTGACCATCAACTTTATTATCATTTTAAGTCATACAAGTGGTGTAAATCAATACATGCGCTGTTTGATGGTGTAAGGATGGTACCATTTGGTGGCCCGGTTTGTGTCTGTGTTCCCTAGTGTTTTCTCTTTAGTTCAATTGGTGCCACCCTTGTCTCGTCACAGCTGTTTGTAATCACGTCTCGTCTTGTCCCTGTATATAAGTCGTCTGTTCAGTCTTGTTCTTTGTCGCGTCGTCTTCGTTGGGTCCCTGTGTTCTTCTGAGTCTTCTGAGTTTCCTGAGTCCCTCTGAGCTTCCCGTGCCTTCATCCCGTTTTGTAAGTTGCGCTGCCTCGTCAGCCTGTTATTTTTGTATTTTATTATTATCATTAAATTTCTCAATTTTGTACTTCTGCCGAGTTGAGTCCCTGTCCGCACTACTGGGTTCGCCCTGACCAGAAAACCCTGACAGATGGTAAAAGTTCATTGTGTTTGTTTTAAAATAAAAACTCTAAACACAAGTTGGACTAGAGACATGTCACAGAACAAAACCTACTCAGCTGACAGCAGCTTTATTTGTGGGTCCAAGTCAATACAGATGTTCTGGACTCTTACTGGACCCTTAGTTCTGTTCTTTTTGACCCGATCTGTTGTAGATCAGCTGCTGTGTTTGGAATCATGGTTCTGTTGGACCCAGTTTGGTCCAAGCTTCAACTGTTGGACATATGGGCTCACATTTGACTCCAGAACCAGCCTTCCTAAACCTTTCATGTTTTGACGCACAGAACCAGCTGCAGAAACCGGAGACACTAAAGCTGGTATCTCACTCGGCTGTAGCTTCTGGAGAAAACAGACCTCAGTCTGATATCACCAGAGCGCCAGCGAGCCAGGTGGCCATGTTTTCACAATCACGGTTGCTTTTCGTGCACGGCTTGAGAAGCAGTATTCTTGGCGGTGCACATTATTTTGGTGCCTAACTCTGCCCACTTCTGCAGCCCCTCCCCCTTCATGTTTATGATTTAATCTGCTGCAGTAGACTTTAGAAATGAAGACAAGCTGTTTTTATTTATTATTCATTATCTCTGGTTTTTAGACCTGAACCCGGTTTCTGTCAGAGGAGTCAAACTTCACATCTGGTTCTGGGTGTTTGGTGGACCGGTTTGCACCTGACCCCAACTTTGACTCTAAAGATTCTCAGGTTCTGTGGCTGTAACACATGTCCAAACCATCAACCTCCACCACCGTGCTGACAGCTGGGAGGAGCTGTTTCCTGAAATGCATTCTGGGTAAACATCTGTCCTCCAGTCCACTTCTGTTTCAGAAGTCTTGTGATTCCTTCAGGTGAAACTTCACAAACCTAAGTGGTGCTGCCATTAGGGCTGGGCCAAATCATATCATTCTTGATAATACTGGTAAAAAAAGCTTGCCCGGGAAAATAAATGATATCATGATATGCTAATTTCATGACGTAAGTACGTCAGTGTATGCCCCGCCCCGTTAACAAAACCGAGCGTGTCAAACTACCGAACTGCACCCCCCCCCACACACACACACCTGTTGGTACTGGTGTAATGCTAATTAGCTGCTCACAATACTAGCTAGCTAAAATGCTAAAATCAAACAACGTGCTGCTCGCTGCGTTTCTCCATAAAGCTCTAAACTGCGGGTACAGACAGTGACAGCGCAACTGTTTCTCCCTCCCCCCCCACATCGCTCTAGGCTGCCAGTGCGGGCGCAGCTCTCGACTGGGTCTCCCCCCGCTCTAAACTGTCGATACAAACACGCACAGGTCTGTCTCTTGAGTTCCACAGTCCATGGACCAAGAACAGAGTCAGGTGATGAAAGACAGAGCAGTAAAATTTCAGTAAAATTAACCCTTGCTGTTTTAGTTTTTATATAATACTACAAAACAACATGTTAAGATAATTTTGTCAAATTAATAACTATGATTTCTGTTTTTTTTTTTTTTTTTTGTTATATCACAAAATTTATCATTATCGTCAGAATTCTCTGAAATATCACGATATTATATTTGAGCCATATCGCCTACAAGATACATTTTTAAACTCCCTGTCTGACTCTATTAAGGACCAAATCATGGCTCGGGACAAACCAGGCAGTTTCGACGAGCTTGTGGATCTGGCAGTCGCCATTGATGAACGCTTTCGGGAATGCATCTGGACCCTCTTGAAGGACGGATGAAAGAGCCGGGCGGGTTTAACTGAAAAGTCCCAGGAGGTCAAGCTGAGCCATGAGGAAGCAGGAGACATGAAGTCCCAGGATGGTGCAGCTGCCCAGGCAGGAAACAGGTCTGCAGCTGGCTGTGGGGAGCAGAGGTTGTCCTCTGTAGAGCGAGGACCCGATCACCCCACCGGCGAGTCGGGGCACCTCTCCCCCAGTGGGATCTCTCCTTGCTCCTCCGGCGAGCGAGGGCTGGACTGCCCTTCTGGTGGATACAGGTACCTCTCCCCCAGCGAAGACTTCCACTACTCCAGCTCCTCCAGTGAGGGAGGGCTGGACTGCTCCTCTGATGAACACAGGTACTTCTCCCCCAGCAAACTCTCTCCTTGCTCCTCCGGTGAGCGAGAGCTAGATTGCTCCTCTGGCAGATACGGGTACCTCCCCCCACCAGCAAAATTTTCCGCCGTCCCTCCGGCAACCAAGAGTTGGGCTGCCCACCCGTCTGTGAAGCTCTCTCCTCTCTGCACCAGTCTCGGGTAGGAGGTGCAGCAGCGGGGCACAGCAGTGAGGGGAGGAGAGATGGGGACGCCGAGGACCTAGATCTGATGGCCAGACTGGTCCCACAAAACTGTGCCCTCTTCTCCTCATCTCGTTGGGTAGTCTTGTCTGCCTTTCGAGCCAAGAACTCAAACAAGGTGATCATCCTTCTGCTGGGTTCAGTATGGTCTCCGGATTCTATCACGTTCAGCCGTCAGGTGTGTTTGAACCCATGTGCAGGAGGATGACAAGAGGCTCGAGAGTAAAAGTTAAACAAGGTTTATTTACACAAAACAAAATTAAAGAGCTAAAAGGGCAGCTTACAACACAAGGCGGATGGGACGGGAGGCAGAACACGACACCATAAAGGACAATCCTGAGACAATGACAAGATGCAGAGGAACTGAATATATACACACACTGATTAAAACAAACGACCAACACCTGATCAAGGCAGCGACCTGGAAACCATCCACCCTCAGGCCAGAGTTCCAGCCAGTGACCAGAGGACAATCCATTCTGGGGTAGCTGAGGCATCCATCTGTGCCCTCCTGGACTCAGGCAGAAGAGGACCTCCGCAGGTGAACCAGGGATGAGGACCTCAGCAGACGTAAGATCTTTTGCGGATAATTCCAGGTCTTCTGCAGTAGACTCAGGATCTTCTGCGGAAGGCGAGTCTGGTGTCAGATCTGCAGCAGAAGAGTCAGGAACCAGATCTGCAGCAGAAGAGTCAGGAACAGGAACCAGAGCTGCAGCTGGAGAGTCAGGAACCGGAGCTGCAACAGTAGAGTCGGGAACCAGAGCTGTAGCTGGAGAGCCAGGGACCGGAACCGCAGCTGGAGAGCCAGGGGCGGGAGCTGCAGCTAGAGAGACAGGGTTCAGAGCTGCAGCTGGAGAGAC